TACCTACCGTACGTGGAGTAGTGTGTGTGTGTGTGTGTGTGTGTGTGTGTGTGTGTGTGTGTGTGTGTGTGTGTGTGTGTCTATACAAATAAATGCACAGGTGTTAACAAACATACACTACTTTCCTGTATTTACACACACCCTACTTAGCTTATAACTTACCTTCTGAAATACTGTTAATGTTATCCAGTGCATTTGCTGCATTCTTAAATGGAGAAAATGCAACAAGTTGTACAATAGTCTTGAACTTGGACACATCTAGCATATTTTGCTCTACCTGAGGCTGAAGCATGGTAACTTCTTCAAATTCTTTAACACGAAACAGAGAGTAGCCCGAGGCATGTTCAAACAGTAAAAACATCTGTGTCTGAAATGTAATAATATCAAGGGGAATTTAATTTTAATAATATGAAAAAAAACAAATGTATTTCTTTTTCATCACATTACATTACAAATGAATTTACACTTACATTTTGGCAGTAAATTTAAGTTAATATTATTCATTCACTATATTTCACTCTACAGTTTCAGTCCTACTGTTAAAAAACTTAAAAATGCAAACTCTATTTTAAAATGTGTACAGCCTGTAAAAAGCTTACATCTATTTCAAGTCATAATTGTTTTATTTTCTCATCTTCAGCTGACAACATGGTAATTTTATACATTAGAGCAGACCACCTGATAAAAACCATGTTACTTTACATCTTTACAAAAAAACAAGGCTTAAGTCTTGTCAGCTGACTGAAAACAAAAAACAAGAGGTTAAACTTAGAGTTAAATTTGTTTTATGTATATTTTTAATTTATTGCTATAAAAGCAACTAAAATCTAAAATATTAGAAACCTATAAGGTTAAATAAGAAACCAAATGAAATAAGTTGAATACAAAAAATACCTAAGAAGTTTCTGCACACGAGCTGCTTGCAAGTTATGTAATTCACTTACATAACTTGAGCTATGCAATCACAGTGTGATATTAACATTTTCCTTATCCAAAAATGTATATTCCAATAGATACACTTCCACACAGTTCAGCTATCTTTCTTGGGCATCTGCCAGGGAGACTTGCATGACAGTAGCTTAAGGCAACTCCCACCTAATTTCAACTGTTTTTAATGTGAACTGCACTATTGCATAATGATGTTATCATGCAACAAAAGCCCTTCATCAATAGGAAAGCAACACACCTCCATGCATAATAGTTCCCCTTATGCACTTGCACTTAGAGTAACTTAATTCTTCAATGAAGCAAGTAAAATAAAGGTGCACCAGAAGTAGGTAGGATGAGTGAAAATGTGTGCAGAGGCATCTATTAGAAATACATTTTCAGGTAAGGAAAATGGTAACTTCCAAGATAACTTGGACACAGTTTAGCTAGAATTCCATGTTGAATTGGTGGAGGGGCTGATGCAAAGTGTTGTACACAGATGAGCATCCTTCAAAAAGCACCAAAGAAGCCAATGGAGTGTGATGCCCAATGGCAGGGGCACACCTGTGTGAGACTGCATCTCATCTCGTCCAGAAAGTAAGGGAGAACGAGACAAATAAGCCCCATGTATTGCAGGGACTAACAGAATGAGAACATGGCCATCTAAATACTTGAACACAAGATGTCAGATAGCCAATATACATGGTGTGATTAGGGCCTGTTCAGACTGTACCTTGTGTGCTCACCTCAACTCCACCAGCAGGTTCTATGAAACAGACTCCAGCTGCAGGAAGAGGAGGGATTAGTTATGTATTTCTCTTTCATACAATGTGTTCACCTCAAGTCTGCTAACAGACGCAGGCTGGAGGAAGAACACACAACAGTTATTTATTATGGTTACATTTAATGAGTACTCACCTCAACTCTACTGTACAGTAGAGTACAGTCTCTGGCTGCAGATGACCTGCACTACAATGAAATTGTCCCCACCACCCCACTTCTCACCATATTAATACTCCTTTGTATAATCTCAGCTGATGAGTCCAACCAGTATTCTCCATGGTCCACCACCCCAGCAGTTACCAGTTAAGTAAGAACTAGTAAATAGCAAGCAAGGGTCTCCTGTGCTCCACTCAAGGGAAGGAGGGGTAAATTTGTGTTGGGGAAACCTAGAGAAAGTGCCCAGATCACCATCAGACCCAGCCAGAAAGATCTCTTACTGGAGATAGTGCAATAGGTAACCTCAAAACCCTATTTTTAAAAGCCAGCAAGCCTGATGCTGGCTTCTTCCACGATAGTCCATGGAAGAGGTTCGATCTAGATCGGACAATTGAGGGAATATATAAAGACACACACAAAACCTGAGGATACCTGAAATGGTCTTGCAAAACACCCCTTCTCACAATGGCCACATTTTGTTAGAGCCAGGGAGAATAGTGTGACCATTTGCCATTATCTGGGTTGATGCAGGTTTAGGGTAAGTGTATGCTGAGCAGCAACATTAGCCACCTGGTAAGACTGTACAAAATGAAAAAGGGGCTTTGAAAGAGAAATAATATGCATACTTCCTAGAGGCAGTTGGGTGATTGAAGAACAGCAACTGGTGGAAGCCAAAAACCATCAGGAAATAAAACAGCTAGAAGGTGTATAGAAGGAGATGAATGTGTGGAGTGTGTCCACATACCTGAATAGGGCCAACAAAAAAAGATGTACAAGAAAGACAAATGTGACAAATAAATGCTAAGAAATATGAAAGAGCTGTGAGAATCCACATCCCAAGACAAACATACTAACCAGAAGAGTCAAAGGGCCCATCCATTAAGGATAGAAGTCCTTGGAAAAATGAGAGTCCCAAGGTACGGACTTAAAAAGATAGTGATTCCAAAAAGGAAAGGTCTGTGAAAGGGCACAATGAATAGCTCAAACAGAATAGGGGGTAGATCTGCATCTTAATAGTTAAACAGATAAGAGATAGAAGGAAAGGAGATGGGAGAATACTAGTTACCCTCCAAAATGGTTAAAGTCTGAGGAAGGAGAAATTGATCTAGACAGATGTGTATATAATGTGGTGGGAGAGGGTTCAAGAAGCATCTATACAAGAGACATCCACATAACAGTAACCACGTGTAAAATGGAAGAGGAAACAAGTCAGGAGAGAAAGCTGGCATTAAAGGTAGGAAATCAATGGCTCAAATGGAGCAAACACAAAATTGTGCAAAACTTAGCCAAGATCTCAGGCAGGTATGGGTGACAAGGTTAAAAGAAAACAAAAGCAGTGGAACAGAGTGACGAAGAAACACCTTGAGGATACAGGGGAGAGGCTGTGGATAAAGCGTCTCAATGACCAGTAAAGGCAGAGACTGATAAGCAATTGATGAACAGTTAGATGGAAAAAAAAAGCAGAAAGGTTGTTCACAGTATGATGGCCAGAAGGAAATGAATGGCAGAAGGACCAAAAATAAGAGATCTGCCACAATCATTGATAGACAAAGGCAGTAAAAAAGGTAACAAAAAAGTGACAACATAAGTGAAAAGCTTAACCTGATGGGCAACAGATCGAGTAAAGTTTAACCATGAGGATGGAGGAAAAACATCCTTTAGTTAAGATTGGATATGTGAGAGTGAAGCAAGAGAAAAGGGAGTCCAAATGTCAAGTAGACCAAGGCTGAGCTAGTCAAAGCAGAGCCAAGAAGGAGAGAAAAGTGTAAAGCCAAGACTAGAGGGAGAGGATGAATAGAAGAATAGACATATAAAAAGAGGTGAGACAAGGATTAGTGGAGAGAATCGACAGATGAAAAAACCTAAACAACTTATATATTAAAACAAAACATTCAATAAATGAAATAGTCTCCATTCTTATCGATGATACTTTTCCATCTTACAATCAGGTTATTAATGCCCTGATTAAAGAAATCACTTGACTTTGAAGCAAAAAACATATCAATGTCCTCTTTAACACCTTCAATATTTGCATATGTTTTCCCATTAAATCTTTCGACCCGGGCTCGGTCCGTGGGACTGACCTCGTAACCATTTTGTGCTTGTTATAGTTTTCATGCTATAACTTTTAAATTAGTAAGCAAATGTTAAAGCAGTTTATCAGTAAACATTACAATGCTTTTATACACAAAATATCTAATTCTTTTTATTAATTCTTAAGGTTTGTAAAGCAATGTTTCTCTCATACCTTTTTTTTTTCTTTACACATCTTGCCTATCTATTGTGCAAAGTAATTTTCATCTTAACATTAAAAATGCTTTTATGCATCAGAAAATTTCAAAATTTCACATGCGAAATCATGTCCAGATAGTTATCAAATGTTTCTTACGAACAAACTTTATATTTTATCTTTTATTTTCAGTAATGAAAGACAACAAATTATAATACAAAAACACAAATATTTAGACTAAATTGCTTAAATCTCATAACATTACATATTTATATATA